AACGCTAAAAAGTCAATTAAACGATTAAAAATCCATCTAAAAATTTTGAGTGAAAGTTGTAGTATCTAATTGCTCTAAATAATGTTTGCATTGAAAGATATTTACAGAATAAAAAGATTAAAAATAAACTTTCAGAGAACACGCTGTATCCCAACTAAGCATGGTTTGTTATTTATCTACGTACACTTTACTTCACCTACAGGTACATAGAAAGCTATACAAGTGCGTTTGGTAAAAAAATCTTACGTGAGCTGCATTTGTTGATAAAGTGTAAACAAAACACTCATTTTTATCTATTAACGTCAATTTACAAATAACTGAATTCCCCATGTAAATTCAAAGCTCCATCAATACATCTGAAAATAAGAAGTTACTTGAGTTGATTTAACAACTTGGGTAAAATGAAAAAAATGCTTTGTAGTACTGCGTATGTATTACCTCAAACCGTGTCCTTGGTTACAACAACAATAATTGCATCATGCTCTTTAGCAATGACTTTTTGTTAAGAAAAGGTGCTTTGTGCTGCCGCCTGACGCCTCTCGTGTGTAACACACTATACAGCTCTTCACAGCTGTTCAAGACTACTCACTTCTGCCCACCCCCTCTCCCCCAGCCCAAGAAAGTATTAAAAAAAGAAAAAAAAAAAAAATTCAGTTAGAATGAACAAAAAATGCACCCTCTGATTACACAGTTTGTTTAAATTGAACCCTCATAAATTTTGTAGAAAAAAATTATTAACAGTTACCAAGTTGTCTTGTTTTAAACCTCCGATATCTTTGAAAAACACTTCTTTTTCGATACAACGTTGGCTTATAGAAAATGAACCTTTTCTGATTTGAATTGAGCTTATCTTACATTTGAAAATATTAGCTTAGTTTTTTTATTAACAATTAATACATAATACTGGTCTAAAAGCTAACCTCATCTCTATCATGTATATCAACTGCACACAAGCCCCCAGAGCGCATGCGCACATTTTTTTTTTCTTTTTAATACTTTCTTGGGCAGGGGGAGTGGGGGTCTTCTGCCCGAGCACTTGTACAGCGAGCATCGTCCTTCCGGCAACACATACCGCCCGTGGCAACTCTAATTAAATAGAGTTTTACGTGTTCACTTACTACAAGAAGGGCATTTTTGTCTGCGACCTGTCCCTCACCCTTCCACCACCTGCAATAAGGCTAAAGTCTAACAGGTTATCGGCCCAGGCGACGTGAAGAAGGCAGGAAGCGGCAAGGAGAGCGGGAGCGAGCACAAGAGGAGTTTAGTTCAGAGTAAGGTAATTTCAGAGATACACCTAATGAAACTTCAAGTGTCGTTTGAAGCAGGGTGTCAAATAGACAGTTTGCTTGTGTTTTCTTTCTCTCTCGTCTTTTTCGCGGTTTTTTTCGTCGCAAGTGCGTAGTGCTCTGTGTCCGCGTGTTTTGTCTCTCTCTCTCTCGCTCTCGGCTGGCTGATCAGCTAGGCCGACTGCTCCATGTAGCGTTTTTTTTACCCATAATTGCTTTAGAGAAAGAGCAATTAATAAGCAGAGAAACATTTTAGAGTGAGAAAAAAAAAAAAAAAAAAGAGACAGTTACATTCAGAGTCGTTTTTTTTATATAAAGCAAATGAGGAGCGGCAGTGTATGCGGGGGGAGGGGGCGGGGAGAGGAGAGATCGGGACGGACTGCCGCTACGGCATTCGCGAATTCTGGGAAGACGCTCGAAATAGTAAACACGCGGCGCGAGTAGAGCCTGACGCGACATGAAAATACTGTTGCTATTAGAAGAGTTTTGTTTTTCAGAGTTTTTTCTTGTTGAGACGTATAGTATATATATACCTATATGTATGTATGTATATAAAATTACTCAGATAGGCATAACTGAATTGTTTCCTCGCTTATTTATCTCTCTCCGTTGCGCGAGTGTGTGAAAGTGCTAGCCGTGCAGTACTTTTACACACACACACATAAATCGCGCTAAAATCTGCATTCTTAATGCAGTCGACAGTCATGCAGTGCAAACGTCGTATATATATCCTAAGGAGAAGTTGTCGTGATACCGCTTGGTCTGTGGGTCTGCACCGCGGGTGCACTCTCGCTCGCGTAGCTGTCACTAGCTGTGCGGTGACAGCGGCTAGGCGGGACGCGAAGAGTAGGCCTCCGGCCGGTAGGGCTCGACAGCTAGAGGGCTACCCGTTCTTGACAGGCCGTGCCGTCATGAATCTTGGGTGCCTTCAACAATAATTAAATCTTGCATGGGTATTTTCTAAATACTTTTTTGGTCATGCAGGTGAGGTGGACAATGAAAGCAGGAGCCGCACTCCGGAGAGGCCAGTCGATGAGTCGAGTGGTGATCCGGGGGAGACTCGAACAGACGACGGGTCTCCTGAGCGGTCGCTTGCGACCTCAGAAAGAGGTAACTTATAGATCTTCGATGTTTATTGTAGAATAAATACAGCAAATCTCAGAGTGGCCAAAAAGGAGTTATATGACCGCAAGGCTTATAACCTCCAAGAAAATAAAACCAAAAATAAGATGTCTAGATGGCTGTATTTTTTTGTTGTTTTTCAGAGAATTCAGAGAATCCGGAACCCGTTAGGGACGCGGATTTAGACCTGGAGAGAGAAGAGAAAGAGGAAAGGCAACAACAACTTGATGCCATTAAAGAAATAGCGCGGAACTTGGCGC